AGGAACCTATAAGCTGAAACAGAATATATTATTGTTAATATAAACCTGAAAAGAAACGGATTAATACGAGGAAAGAAAACAAACGAATAGAAACCATGAAGGTTAACCAAGTGGAACGAGCAACCCATCGATGAGACAGAAACAAACCAACGACGAAACATTCGAATATTATACGAAATATTCGAATGTTCGCATGAAGATGAATAGAAACGAGAAAATAAAATGTGGAAAAATAAGAATAATTAAAATCTGAAAATAAAAAAAATTATTAAAACCTGATAGAAAAATAGAGTAGACCTGAAAAAGAAAACGATTAACAACCCAAAGATGAGATACAAACAACCCAACGATGAGACATAAAAAAGCCACCGACGAAACATTCGAATATTATACGAAATATTCGAATGTTCGAATAAAGATGAATAGAAACGAGAAAATAATATGTGGAAAGAGAAGAATAATTAAAATCTGGAAAGAAAAAAAATAATTAAAAGCTGAAAGAAAAATAGATTAGACCTGAAAAAGAAAATTATTTAACAACCCAAAGATGGGATACAAACAACCCAACGACGAAACATTCGAATATTATACGAAATATTCGAAATGTCAAGTAAAAATAAAGAGAAATGAATAAATAACATCTGGAAAGAGAAAAAATAATTAAAAGTTGAAAAAAGAAAAAATTAATTAAAAGCTGTAATAAAAAAAATAATTAATATTTGGAAATAAAAGAAAAATTATTTAATGGGGAGGGGTGAGGGTGGGGTGGCTAATCCCAACCCCTCGCGCGCAACGAAAATTTAGATGTTACACTTCCGAAGTCCAACCGACAATTGAGTTATGTTTCGTTGCGTCGCCTTTTATATAGCCGCCGATCGGCCAAGTCCCCCACCTCGATCGGAAATTTCCGAACTTTACCGATTCTGTTAATTATTATTTTTTCGCCTTAATAGTCAATAATTTATTAATTTTTTCACTTTTATTATAAATATACGTTGCAAGCAATTTGTTAATAACAATTTTAATTTGTTATTAACAATTGGTGTAATTATTTATAAACTTTTTGCAAATGGTACGAATACATTTTAACACAAGTGTGTCGTAAGTTCTAATAATAGCCAATAATTTATTAATTTTTTCAGTTTTATTATAAATTTACTATGTGAACAATTTGACATTAACATTATTAATTTGTTACTAACAATAAATATTATAATTTATAAACTTTCTTTATGCTTTTAGAATATAAATTTTCGTGATGCATTTATGTGAAGTATTTTTATGCTTTATGCAATTTGTTAATAACAATTTTAATTTGCAATTGTTGATAAATTTGATAATTTATAGATTTCTTATAAACTATAACTGCATTCGTATCTCCATGGTATATATATCTCTAATATGTATATGTATGTCAAAATATTTTCATTTCCTCTGTATTTTTGACAAGAACGAAGTCTTACGCGAATATTCTAATGTTCAAGAGTTTGGAAACAGAAAATGTTTCTTCGTGGAGCAATATTTGGTGAATAGGATAGATGGTCCGCGTTCTCGAACGTCAAATTCTCAGAAACACGCATTGTCTTGCAGTCTTGTCCGAGAATGCATTGTTTTGCGAAAGGAGGGCGCCTTCGCAACTCTTCACCGATTTTGAATGAAAGATCTACGCTAGTGTTTCGTGAGAGGAAATTACACCTTTCCTAATTACAACTGAAAAATTGACGTACGACTTCGGAAAACGTGTCGGATGATGAATTTTTAAACTTCCTCTCGTGATACGAATATACAGCACGAGCAATGTGACTCGATATATCACACGAGGAAATTGATAGAAAACTGTACTCGCGGTGTCGGTATTTCGCACGATGATTTATCATTAAGGAAAATGCTTCGAGTTTCATTCCGAGAATAAGTAATTACAAATTAATGACAAAGAAGCGTAAAGAAAAATGTATGTTATGAAAATTAATTCTCCTGCTATTCTCGGTAAAGTTTATCGTTGGGTATCGAGATCTTCCAAATATCTAGATAGAAAATATCTCAGATGTCTTAAAAATTATTACCAGTAAGTGTTTATATATAGATCAGACTGTAAAATTAATCAGCCAGTGGCTTCGTACAGCATTTAATCTAGCTTTCTATTTCTTTGCGATAGTGGTAAGGTATAGAAAGTTGTTGCAGTGAAAGAAAGATTCATTACACACCGTTTTCGATATCTCAAAATTCGATATCTCGTTCGAGAAGTGATACCATTTTACGCGATTTCTATTATTGGTAATTTTGAATAATTAAAAAATGTTAAAAATATTCTTAAATATCCATGGATATTAAATATGGTGTTAACAATGGGTGGAGTATGAAATGTATAAAATTGGTTCGATTTTACATCGAAGTTATATCGATAATTTTTGGTCCAAGGGCCGTTACGTGTAATTCTCGTCCGGATCTGAAAATTTTCTTCGAGATCCAGTATGGAATAAGCAATTAGCCAGTTTCTCAAGTAGTTATCGCTTCTATTCTTACCACTTGACAACAATTTTCCGGCTGTCGAAACGTTCAGAATCTTCGGCACCAACGAAGTCCGGTAATCAAAGTCGAGTTAATTAAGAAGTTGGAGTTTATGTTGTAGGTGTTCCCTGCAATTTTCTGTTGAATGAACACTCGATCGTAGAAACGTCTGAAATCTCGAGTAATTCCGAAGTTAAGCGTTTAACAGGTTGTTTGAGAATTTAGCGAGAAAATTGCTTCCGCACTTTTTAAGCCGGACCTTCATATTAACCGAAATTAATTGCATCAGCTCTCGGAGAAAATTTCTCCACTGATCTTGATAATAATCTTGATAACTCTCTTTTTTCGTCTTTAATTATTATTCGCTCGATCATTTTCCGAGTAATATTTGTTATTAACGATGTTAATTTCGTTCCCTCCAATAATTATAATATTATCAATTGTAACATTTTATAACGAATACTTGTTATTAATGAATATTTATTTCCTTTTTCATTTTTAAATAGATATTACGTGTCCAATTTTTTTCCGAATAATGATTACGATTAATATGATTACGATTACAATTACGATCAATTTTCGCTTTTGCTTTTAATATTAATTTCGTTTCTTCTATGTTAATTATTATTTATCGAATAATTTCTCGAGTGTTTAATTGATTATTAATAGATGCTAATCTTCTTTGTTCCACTTTAATTGTTATTTACTCGTTATTTCCCAAGTATAGTGTTTATAATCGTATCGCGTCGAAGAACGCCTTGGAAAATGACACCTATCACAGACAGTATGAATAAGAACGTCATTTAATCAAAACATTAGGTAACGATAATTATAGAATCTATTGCATTGAAAAAAAAGCTTGTCTATGATGTGCAGTGACAACGCGAAAAACGACTAATACTTGTTATCATAGAAGATTACCACTTATTTAGGGAAAAGAAAGTTAAAAACAAGAATTTTACTTCGATAGCGTTAGTCATTGCATAGTAATTATTCACAGTAGATAAAGATACAATACAAAATGAAATACGTCGAATAACATAAATGTTGAAGCATGATTTACAAGTATAAACACGAAACACAATGCACGTTGTAATGTCACGCGAATTATTCTGTATGGCTTGCAGCACATTTCCATAAATGTGGTAGATAAAGGAATTAAAAAATTACTTCATAGAGTGTGAAACAAAACAATGGTTTGAGCAATTGAACGATAAATGCAACTGTTATTCTAAATTTAGCTAAATGTAATGCGGATAATGAAGATAATTGTCGGTTTAATCATAGTTAATATATATCGACAGATAAATTATGGTACACGATCAATATTACGATAGGTACGTTTGAGTGGTGGACAAGTACCATTAATGTTAAACGTAATTTTGAAATACAATTTTTAATATATGCTAGATATTGGTATTAGTGATTATAGTATTATTACATAATTCATATTTTAATATCAAATTCAAATTTGTTGAGATACAATAGTAATAATTAATATCAAAGGTTAACAATATTATGAAATAAAATATAAAAAAAAATTCGTATGATTTAATAAACGTGAATCGAGAATTTGTATTTATTTCATTGTTTTCTTCTACAGCAGAATGTTCCCTTGAAGACTTTTCTACTGAAGGACGGTCAGTTTATCGAGGTAGATAATATAGAGTTAAACGAAATAACCTTTGCCAATATATTTTTCATTGCATTTGGAAACTGTGTTACGAACTGTAATTTCACTGGAGGGAAGAAAAGACATGAAACATAATTCTAATCAATAATCGTTCTATTTACTTCTGTTATATGCTTCTCGTTGTTATTTGTGATAATACTTGCATCGTTATCGTTGAAATAACGTATCTCTCCTCCTGTTAGCACTTGAAACCGCGAGTAACTTTGTGGATCCACGATCAGTCGGTTCTCAGACATTCACTGACTGCAGATATTGCAGACCCTCGTTTTCCAAAAATTTCATAATTTCTTTTCAAGTTTCATCGGTTCGTATTCCTCCATTTTCATTGAAAACAATTCGATTTCCCGAATAATCTTCACGTTACACTGCTTTACACAGAACTTCATATTTTCACATCTATCATCTATCTATCGTCGTTTTCGCAATGACCCTATTTCGTAATCATTGTAACGGAAATGATTTTTGCGAGAAGACTAAATTTTACGAATCGGTGGATGTATTTACCAGTGGATTGGCTACAGATAGCACGATTAATTATTATTAATTTCAACTCTTATTGAACGATAAGAATGTAAACCTTTTCAGTATGCTCGGTTTGCATGAAAAGTTTTATCATCTTCGCAACGTTAAAGTTCTTTGTGAGAATTACACGTAGATCCATTATCGAATCATAGATATATTACATCCTGCTAGTAAATAATGATATGACAGTAAATAGTCTGGCGAAGAGAGGGGAGCTTATCGCGTTTTACATATATACGGGGGTAGTCAACTTAGACGTTACTTTTAACAAGTCAGGTCGCATATTCTCTGTGGCAGTGTGAATTCAATGTTCGTCGAAAATTATAGTGCTCGTGGAAATTAAAGTTTTTATTCCTCAGTGGTACGTAGATCTCGTTGTGACGCGTAGATGGAGTTTATCTCTTCTTCTTGTTTATCGATACTCTTTGTTCTTTGCTTCATAGATTAAATTCGAGTGTATTGTCAGCCTGATTCATGAAACTGCGCATGTTCGACCGATGAAGTCGAGTTTTTATCTCGTTTTTTTGTTTACAGGACAACTTATTTGTTTTTGGTCGAAACGTACTATTCTTTCTCCTTTCTGAATTGGATATTTCTCCTTTTTCCTCTATTTCATTGCATTGCTGCGATTTCATTCTTTCTCCGAAGATATTTCTTTGTTAATTTCTAATTTTGGAGAATGATATTTCGATGCAAATATTCTTTATTTACTGCAGCCCGTTGATACTCGCGTATCTCACAATTTACGACACTTCTGTGCAATCTAAAGTAATATAAATAAATCGAACATTCGAAATCGTGCCATTCTATTAAACTTTACTAGTACGAGCAATCGTAGTCGTATGACAAAATTTTTCTTTCGATAGGATATTTTACTCACCGCTTACTCTTCCTCGTCGTTACAATTTTCAGTAAATTCCTTTAAAAAAATTAACTTACTAAATAAGTTAGACTACAATTATACTTCTTAAAAAATGTTTAAATCATTTTCTCAAAAAATACCTTTTACTGCGAAGTTTTCCTTGAATCTCCAGATCAGTGTAAAAATTTTCCAAACACTTCATCGAAGCTTCGACTCCCACAAAAATTAGATTCTTCTGACATAAACCTAATTAAAACCTAAATTAAACCCAAGAATCTGCTAAATTAATAATTACTTTCCAATTAAAATAAAAACTGTATTAAAAGCGAGAAAACCAAGAACCTCCTTTCTTTTCAGAATCAGATTCAAAATGGCCTTCATAACGCCATACTGGGGCCTAGACGGCATCATCGTCTTCATGTCCTTGATAGCCTCGTTCTACCTGTATATGACCCGCAAATTCAAATACTGGTCGAAGCGAGGCATTCATGAGGTCCCACCGACACCCTTCCTAGGCAACTTCTCAAAGTGCTTCATGCTGAAGAAATCAGCGCCAGAGTTCGTGAAGGACCTGTATGATCAGTCGAAGGGGTTACCTTACATGGGTTTCTATATCTTCGACAAGCCTTACTTCCTGGCCCGTGACCCCGAACTTGTCAAACACATTCTGGTGAAGGATTTCAATGTGTTCCCTGACAGAAACGCGTCCACGGATGAGAAACACGACCGTCTTGGGTACGCGAATGTGTTCATGATGAAGAACCCATCCTGGAAGATACTCAGGGCGAAGCTGACACCGATCTTCACCACGGGGAAGCTGAAGAAGATGTTCAATCTGATGTTGATGATCGCGGACGATCTAGGCAAGCATCTTGAGTTATTGCACTTGGAGGGTAAGTTGTATTCTTGTTCACAATAATTCGTAATATTTTTTCGACGTTTTACGTATCGATACACGATATTCAGTACAACACGTTTGTGTTTCGTATAATCAGATTCCTATTCATGAAAAACATTCAGGTTGATTACAATCTTTCCTCGTGACAAGCAGCAGCATAATTGAATAACGGTGGAACTTAATTTGCTAAAGAAAACAAACTAAACATTACTAAAAACATCAGCACTAATTACTCTGTGGAAATCACGTTTAAAATTACGTGTTATTATAGAGATCAGCTTGTTTCTGACCTTTCATTAAAAATTGGCAAAGACTCAGCAATTCTAATACTTATTTTATTATACGATTAAATGTTATACCCGTAATAGTAATTATCTAATATTTCTAATGATTCAGAGGACAGTTTCGAAGCATTTTCATTTCGCATCGTTATCTGAAAATTTCTTTTTTAGGCAATGGAAAAGTATTGGAATTGAAGAATCTATGCGCCAACTTCACCACCGACATGATCGGTAGCACTGCGTTCGGTTTGAATGTGAACGCACTGAACAACGAGGAAGCAGAATTCCGCAAGAACGGAAAACACATCTTTGATTACAGCATGGGTCGCGCCTTCGAGTTCCTTACTATATTCTTCTTCCCTGGCATGAGCAAGTATCTTCATCCGAAATTCTTCGGGAAGAAGGCGAGCAACTTTATGCGAAACGTTTTCTGGGACGTGATCAACCAACGAATAGAGTCGGGTGAGAAGAGGAACGATCTCATCGATCTTTTGATCGATCTTAGGGAGAAACACAAGGACGACACCACTCTTGAAGGATTCAGTGAGTAACTAAATTTCTATACCTTCCACGAATATTTACTGTACCTAATGTACCTTTGGATTCCAATTTTCATCATTTCTGTTCCAGAATTCGACGGCGACGATTTGGTATCACAAGCAGCTGTGTTCTTCAGCGGTGGCTTCGAAACTTCCTCTACTACCATGTCCTTCACGTTGTACGAGCTAGCTCTGAACCAAGAGATACAAAAGACCCTTAGGGAAGAGATTCAGGACGCCCTCATGAAATCCGATGGCAAGATTTCATACGAAATGGTAGGAAAACCGTAAATAATACTTTGTTAATTATCTTCTTTGCGATTATTGGAGCAACACGTCCCGAGATAACCTCACATAATTATGCTTAACCTCGCTGCTTTTTATGTTTACGTTATATTGTATTATCGAATTTATTACTGGAAGAAATGCATCGTCTAAAAGGCATCGAAAAATGATTAAGGATTTAACGACTCATAATTTAACGCAGTTAAAATCATGCGGATTATCGAAAATAGCAAATCCTCCGACTCGGGTCTTAAATTCGAGATAGGTAGCTATTTTGAACGTTCAACGAATCTTATTCTGTGCAGGTCATGTCCTTACCATATCTGGATATGGTAGTATCGGAAACCCTTCGCAAATACCCTCCTCTGGCATTAGAAAGGTACCCCGGTGTTCATATCTATGATGGGTATGCATTACGATCCAGAGTATTTCTCGGATCCACAGAAGTACGATCCACTCAGGTTTACCGAGGAGGCGAAGAAGTCTAGACCGAATTTCGTTTACTTCCCGTTTGGTGAGGGCCCTCATATTTGTATCGGTGAGTAATAATTTTCTTCAGTTATTTTCTGCTATTCTTGACGTATGTTAAGTATGACGAGTTAGGGCTTTGACGTGTAGCTTTATCTTGGTAATGAATAATAATAATAAACCATGGACGTTATTTTTCTATCTGTGCCAGTCACGACAATAATCATTTTCTGTACGATCCTCTATTATTACCACTTACGCAAGCCAAATTAGTTTTTTTTTGCATTGACAGTAGGATACGAAATTATTCGTACTCGTGTCTATTACATTTGATGAATAATTATTACATTCGCCGGATGTATGATTAAAGCGATACATTACAAAATATTGCACCGACAGGAACCAAACCTTGAATTTAAAAAATTGGTACCTTCTTAGCATCATGCTATTCCTAATTTACGGCACGAAAGTAAATATCATCGGTTACGTATGAAAATAAAAACGTAACGGTAAAGGGTGACTGGAAAATTTGTACACGAAATATAATTTGATCGAAAAAATTTGTTTTACTATTACGTCGTTCGGCAACCAACAGTCAGTTATGCTGATATAGAAACATATGAGATACAATGATAATAATTCAATTCAAATTGATAAAAGAAGGAGAAATATTTAATCACGCTTTAGATCGTGACTTTAGAGATAACAATTTGGAAAATTTAACTACATTTTCTCTAGTTTTCTCAGTGAATACGATACAGATTAATAAAAGCAGATAATGTAAACGTGATTGGGAAATATATCATTATTAATGAAAAATACTCTGCCATTTAACTCGTTGAGGTGAAGTTGAAATGAAACTTTTCCTTTTCATGATGAACTTGCAACTTTTTTCAGGACATAGAAACAGAAGAGAAACGAGAAAGGAAATTTAATTAAATATATATTATAAAAAGAATATCTTCACTGAAAGACGTACATTCTAATGCATTTCGTAAATTTGACTCATTTTCTCGTTTCAGGCATGCGATTGGGACTCATGCAGTCGAAGCTAGGACTCGTTCAGGTACTGAAAAGCTACGAGGTCTCACCTTGCGAGAAAACAACAATTCCAATGGTCCTAGACCCCAAAGGACTCACCACGACACCCATAGATGGAATATATCTGAACGTCCGTAAAATCATCACCGCGGCTGGTTAAACTGCACCGAATTGTCTAATCTATTCTCGAGCTTCTAATTCGTGATACCCAAACCGATATCACGAGCGAATTGCGCTTCTTGTAACTAAGTATTTTCTATTTTAACTGTTCGTTATCAAACAATTTTGGAGCTACGGCAGCAACTTGAGAAGAAATTGCTACCTCTGTTTCTCCGACGTGACATGACCTTGATTATCTGAAAATTGTTATCCCAGATGATTTTCAATTGCAATAATAAATGTTACCAAGTATTCTCGAAGACTACGACTCCGTCTACCATCATCTTCTCTATCGTATTCGTCGCTGGAAAAAGAAGGTACATCGGGTACACAGGAAAATACCATCGGCTCCGTTTCACTTACGCGGTCACGTGTATATATATTTATTTCATTCACTTATTCTCATTTACAAAAGAGACTAATCGGCCGCCACGTGGCCCGTGCATGACCGCCGCTTAACTTACAATTAAATCTCTGTGATATATTAATACGACACCTTGGAATCAGATTGGAATGGCGGATACCGTGCGGCATCCCGGCACCTGGGTCGCGCTATTTGTACGGTGATGGCGGTCGATGCGCTGTTCGACAATTCTCTTTGAAAATTAACCGCCCCGAGCCACCCCTTTGCTGTTCGCGTTCACGGTTCGCAGCGAGGAACGATCGAAATCGTCGATTCGTCGAACGTGATTGTCGAGGTCGTTGATTCGTGTCGTCGAGTGAGAGTCGCGACTCACCCTTGTGCTCAGTGGTTAGAAATAGGGGTTCGAATGCGATGGAGGCAATAGCATTATGAAAGTTGAAAGCGACAAAATTGAAATTGCGTAAGGTGGTGTACTTATGAGAGAAAGATACAATAAGATTTGGAGATTCTACCGATCGGAGGATATAATTTGCCCTTAATTCGCTTCGTTGATTATACCCCTTCGTGAACTATCTGTATTGGGAAAAGAAGAAGATGAAAGAAATACGAACTACGTGAAAACCTCACTGATCAACTCCATAGATTAAGCCAGTAGAGAAAAATATTTTTTTCCGAAATTCACATTGGAATTTAGCATCATCCGTGATGTAGCTTTGTTTGAAATTAATACTAGAACTACCGATATTTAATGGGTATTTAAACATAGCGGGCATAGACCATAATAATTTTAGTGGTACAATGAAGATAAGTAAATACATTAATTACAGTCCTATCTCAATATCAGTCGATAATGATTTTTTTAAAGGTACGTATATTTTTATAGTAATTGCAAGAAGGATATTTCCGATCCAGTCTTTTTGACTGGATCGGTAGTTCTAGTGTTAATAATTATTCTTCCTCTTTTTAAGCAGTCGAAACTTGCAAGCTAATAAGATCGAAAGATTCGTAAGAGATTCGTCAGTTCGGCTTCCTAATTTTGAAATTATTTTAGAAAATCGAACAATTTCGATCGTCTCTCCTCGCTTCGATATACAACCATGCTGTTTCGATCAAAAATTCGTCGGATTCCTTTCTCAATCTTTTCATTGTTCAGACGAACAGCGATCGATAGACTTCATCGAACAACGCGCGAGCATCGGGTACACGCCTCTACAACATGCATGAATTTCTTTTTTTTTTTTTTTTCACGGATACTCTTACACACATAATAACTATACAATTCATCGTTTACAATATCGCGATAGTAACTCGCCCGCGAGCTTAGCCGTTATTTCACGTCCTCCGTTCCATAATTCTTTCTCGACAGGTAAATACACGTTATACATACATCTAGAGTCGTTTTGTTCGTACGCCACTCGCATCTCTCTCGACCCGTTTCTTCGTCATAGCGATCGCAACCCTACCCTGCTGTTAGCTGCGTCGTTTGACCCCTGTCGCGCGTTCAACCCTTAACTCGCCGATTAACGCAGCTTCGTTCGGTTTATACCGTTCAGTCGACTTTTGGAGCCACGTGAACTCGCTGTTCGAATAGCAGACGAGAAACCAGGGAGATTTGGTACTAGGAACTTGTATTTTCTTGTCCTCATAGTCGTAGCTCGAATATTTGCAGGACGTCTGGACCATGGAGAAATTGAAGTAATAAGGAGAAGTTTTCTATTTTATTCAGCGTTATCGTGAACTCGAAATTTTGTTTCTAGTTTAACACTAGAACCACCAAAGGGATTAAAATAACGTGTTCTAGATTTTTTATCTTTGCAATTGCCGAGAGTATACAGATGCTTTTAACAAAATTAATATCAATTTTTATTCGAATCTGATGATAACTATGTGTGCTTCTTTATTTTCATTGTACTACTTTGAATATCATCCATAATCATATCGATAATCATATCGTATTAAGGTAGTCATTATAAATTGGTAGTTCCAGTGTTAAAAATAGGGACGTAAACCCTTGGCGTTACAATGGCGAGTCCAGGTCTTCATCGACTTCTCTTTTCAAATTAACATATTTAAAAATTTGTAAACATTCTAAGAATTCTTCAGAGTTTCAGCGCGAACGAAACAGATGTATAATCTGTTGTGTAATTAAAATTAAACGTATAATTTTTAATCAGGTCGTAGCATAAGGGGTTGAAAGAAAAGGTAGGTATTTCTTATTTGTCTCGTGCTCGATGTTTCCAAAATTTCTCGCCATACTTGTGGAAAAAATAAATAAGAAGGGAGCAATTCAACCATCGCTGAGGATTGCATTACGTTAATAGACACATGTTCGCCGGCATGATTCTTAACGCAAGTGTTTAATCATTAGATTTCACTTGTTCGTTTCGAAACTAATATTTCATTACTCCCGACCGGGTGATGTTCAGTCAAAAATAACATACGCTGCTAGTGAATTACGAAACAACGTTTCCACTTGCCTCTAATATGATCTATAGATCCCCCAGGGCTACCAGCCTGTCGAGTTAATTACACTCTCTGCAGTAACATATTACTGCCAGCGTTAATTCATCGGGTTAATATATCGCGATTATGCGTCCCCTTAAATAAATTTCTTCCATTTATTTATCGTCTGCTATTCGAAGTGCAACATCGTTCATCATTCGTCTCGGCAATTTTGCGAAAATATCTCCCGCATATCACACGCGATTTACACATTACTGTGTTTATATCTAACCTCGTCTTTCGCTCTCTCTAATCTTGTTCGGGCAGAAATTTAGAGGGAAGGAAACACCAAGAAATTACAATTTTTTCCGAGAGGTTACAAGTTACAAAAGGTATACTTTATCAATGTTCTAAAACGCGAATTATTCGCAGAAGAATATTCTTGCCGTCGCAGTTTCACAATTGCTATTACTCTACCCCTTTCGTCGCAGAAACGCTCTTTATCAATTTCCTCTTTCGCTGAAATAACGAGCGAGATCCGAATGAAAATTGTTCAGTCGAAACTTCGTCTCTTTCTCTATCTTTTAATATTTAAATCGGAATTAAAATTTTCTCGACATTTTTTCGAAAGGGTCCTTTTCTGGGCTTTATTAACGATTCGACTGATATTTCAAGTCACAAGAAAATCTAAAAACGGTCTAACGTGTATCAAAAATTTTAGGAACCTCCTTCGCACTTGACACAGGAGATCATCGACTCCGTGTAAGAAAAAAAGAGTAAAAATTTTTCTCAGCTAATAATACAAGTATTTAAATATTTCACCCACTCGGAATCGAAGCAAACGAGTATACATTTGCACTCTTCGTTCTCGAAATTCACGTGACTCGCAATTCTCAAGGAAGATCCTCGACGATGAAGATCGACGGAGATCATTCGCAACGCGTTTCGATCGCACGACGTTGGTCGCCACACGTTCGCTCAACATCGATCCCTCATTTCTCGATTAGGGCTCCGATCTCGCCGGAGGTGGTTGAATGGGCGACGAAACGAGGATCACGAAGCTTGCAGACGAAATGATCCGTTCGATCCTGGCGTATCGCAGAAAATCCCACTCCGCACTTCAGTTCGACGATGCTCGATCGTGCCGATCTTTCGATCTCCTCTCTCGACGATCGTCGACAGCAGAAAACCGGTAATTGACGAGAATAATTAAGACACGAGGGTTGCCTCGTCGCAAATTCGACGATCAATTGAAAAATTCATCGCAACTTTCTGCTAGGATACGATTGGACCATCGAGTTGCGTTCTCCTGTCCAGTTCACGGTCGCCTCGAGGCTACGTTTCGATCCTCGATCGAGACGATAATTCGGCTGACCACGACGCGGTTCAGTGCTTCGAGGGTTGATCCGCCATTGACAGCGACGATACAACGGGGAGTATTTCGATTGTCGACACGGGGTGGTCCGAGAGTTTCTAGGAAAATCGACTCGCTTGATACTGACGTACAATCGATTTTACGTCTAGGAAGAGACAAATAAATATTGACAAAGGTCAGGCACAGACAGCGAGTGATAGAAGGGGGAAAAAAAGCATTTGACGTAGTCATCAGTCGTTGGTTACCGAACGAATCCAACTGCTCGTCGATCTCTCGACGATGATGAGGATTCGCGGTTGGTTCAAATTCAACGCGATCAAATACTTCTTTTCTGCCTGCTACCACTGAAAGTTTAATAATTTACATTACAGCGTGTATACAACGTTGTGTGCTTCAACGTGGCTCGCTTGCTCGAACACAACTTCACACTCGTCCATCCTGTCTCTGTTCGTCTACGTGGGTCGAGTGTTTCCACGAGCTTTCGACGACGAAATGGAAGGATTCGCGCGATTAATTTTACGGTGGACTCGAGCTGGGCGTCGAGAATGCTCGCGCGAGTCCTCACTGCCGCGGGAAGAGATTTATCGGCTAATAAAAGCGTGGATATCGATGGAAATCGTGTTCGCGATCGAGAAACGAATAAAAGAGCGAGCTCTAAACCAGGTTGCTCGATTAAGATGCGGGTGGTGCTTTCGATGGACGTCGCCGAGTTAAAATACTACGTCGAAAGCGGAAATCAAAGAGCGCGTTTAAAAGTCTAATTAAAAGTTCTGGCTATAAGTAATACTAAACGGTAAAAATGGTTGGTCGTTCGCAATCTAAATTTCGCTGAAAATTTACGTTAGTTCTTTCATTCAAATTCGCGAAATTCGGAATGGAGATATTCGATGAAGGAAGAACGAGGAAATTTTCTGAGACGATCTGATCAAGAAAGAGAGAGAGAAAAAAAAAGAAACAAGAAAAAAGAAAGACAGATTCGCTTCGATATCTCATATAAATATAAATCAGAGTTTCTTTGCGTCGATAAGATGCTGTAAATTGGGAAAATGCACTGAACGAATCTCTTCTCGCGGCTTCTCGCGAGGGGAGGAAAATCGAACAAGCATTACGCAGAATGCAGAGGGCCGGTCGCGTGGACGCAACAGGGTTGCTCTTCTTTTTCTACGATCGCCGTAGAATAACAAAGAATGTTCAAAAAAGGAAGAGAGAGAGAGAGAGAGAGAGAGAGAGAGAGAGAGAGAGAGGGGATGAGAAAGAGAGAGAGAGAGACGAGTTTTTTGGGTGGTGAAGACGATAACGTAAGACTAGACTTCAACAATACATGCGGTTTTTCATCGCCGTACAGACACACTGCTGGTGGAGTATAAAAATATAAACATCTAAAAATGAAAAAGCGAGACGCCGTTACGCAGAGAACTGATTCTGTGTCGAGGCTGGAAACGCGTGCATCACGAGGATTCCTCTGCTTTAGGCTGTATCAGATTTATCGTGCATCCTCTTTTGCTTCTTACACTCCTCGTTCTAAACGCGTTCGAAGAATAGACCAAGGGTGTATTTTTGTCGATCCATTAAAAATTTAGCGAGTAGACGAGCAACGATTACCAGGGCCAACGTATTACTTGGCTGTGCGAGTAGAAGAAGGTACTATAGCGTGTCGTATCGTTAGATCGAAGAACTTGAGCGATTTCTAGACAATTCTCCAGCGGAATATTCGTGGCTTTTGAAACAGAGGAAGACAGACCTTCTCGGCGTGGGAACAGCGTTTATTTAACATTCATCTAAATTTCTGACAGATCAACAAAATCGTTTTCCGTGCGAGTGGTCGCCTCGAAATAGTTAGAACCTATCGGTTTCGTCCCTTTCACAGCGACGTTTGCGAAACACGAAATGTTATCCGATCTCCTATCTTTCTCTCTGCTTCGTTGTTCCATCTCGTTTTTCGTTACAAGGGAGACTCGCGTTTATTTTCTTCCTCCTGTACTGCCTTTCCATCTTGTTTCAAATGGGGCAGGTTGTTGAATTTTCCATCGCAATTCGACACGACGTGTCCGTCTAGATCCATTTCGCTCTATCTACCAATACGTTGAACTTTCGCGTTACATAGACCTGCTTCTCCGTACGATCATCTTTCGTTATGTATTTATAATATTTATATACGTTATGCTCTCGTCTCGATGGGAGTTGCATATCTTTTTCCACGTCTTTGTATACATTGCGTCTTGCATATATTTATATATATATTTTTTATGTATATATATATATATGTATATATGTATAATAACGAACAACATTAATGATTACTCATTAGGCTATTCTTTTAATTGGACAATAAATAAAATAGTTTATATGCCGCGCCTATCAGCTTCTTCTATCTCTCAGGCCGTCCTATCCGTCTTCTCTTCCTTTCCTCTTGCTTCGATTCCTCCTAGCTTCTTCATTCCTCGTCTATTCCATCCTCCTACGATTTCAACTCGATTCACACCGCCTGATTTCGACAATTTTAATTTCGTCGTACGCAATTTTTCCATCTACCTTTCTCTCCCGCCCTTTCACACCCTCACACTCTCTCCCACTCTTTCATTCAGTCTGCCTTCGGAACGGAGATCGATAATTAGGAGCAATATACACATATATTTGGTATTCGCCAGCTGTTCGACAGTTTGGCTTCGATACGAACGTTAATTACACTCACACATTCTCTGGCTACATTTGGAAACAGCTAATCGACATACTACACGCACGTACTATAAGACATCTATTTTTTTTTTTTCCTTTTTTCTTTTTCAATTGCGGTTTGATCCTCGCGCAACGTTCCAGAGACTATCTTCCTCCTTCTGCAGCTCTTCTCTCTCAGCTCTTACGCTCGGATAAATTTCCAAGCCATCCCTGATGTGGCAGAACAGTCAGATTCTTTGTGCGAATGTTTCTCATCTTCTCTTTACCTCCTCGTCGAAGGGAAGGCTCGTCCCGGAAGTCGAACAAAGCGGTGGTATACGATCGAGTCCGCGTTCACCCGATACCGGATACACGTGACCCGGAGGAACACGATCGAGTCGGAATTGCTTCGAGTTTCGCGTGAGAAACGCGAAATTTCGCTGCCCAGTGTCGCACGCGACGCGTGTTTGCGATCGAGAAAAGCCTCATCGGAAATTTGTGTTTACGAAGAACGTCTAGCCCGCGAGGTCGAGGGCTAAATAATCGTTTCCAGCTAACGGACAGACGTGATCCGACGATGGCCGACGATACAATCTAGTCGGGTTTTGTCGGCAATGTCGGCAGAACACGAACGCTCTTTTCATCGTTACTCGATTTCCTTCGCTTCCGTGTTCCGTGTTCCGTGATCCTAGTGTCGCGATATCTCTCTCGATCTTCTTTTAGTTTCAGCCTTCGTCAACGATCTTTGGCTCCGTCTCCCCCCACCCCCGATAATCATCGTTTTGCCTGGTTTAACGCGCGAGAAAGTAGCAACCCTCGTTGGAGGATCGATGAACGAAACGCGTGCACGTTTCAACCGTTGCAACACAAAATATTCTCAGCCAGCCACCTGTGCAGGCCCGACAACTGTTTCTCGGAAGAGTCCTCGGCCACCAGGTCGTATCACTTGATCTCTTCTCGACTCGGTGAACGCGGAGAATGCGACGACACGGGGACTTCCGGTACCTGCCTCTTCGGGCGAAAGCTCGCCGTCAGGGAGGAAATCCAACCGCTTGGCGACTGTGAGCTTTGATCGTGCAAGGAATCGCTGTTGCTGTTGCTCCTAGTGCTGTCGATGCTCATACCTGACTTGAACCGCGACAGCAAACCTGGCGATGACTTCTTTGACGATGTTGTCGTTGGCGAGGAGTAGGTTGGCTTCTTCCGGGACTTGGTCGATTCCTTGCACAGCATCGAGTCCAAGCTACCCGTGTGAGGACGTTCCTCCGCTTTCTTTGGCTCCAACGAACCCAGCATCACGCTTTCAGCCTGCTTCGCCATCTTCGAGATGTCTTCCATGCTGGCCGAGCTTCTTCTAATTTCTATTTTACCTATGTCTTCTTGCACAGCTTCTCTGGATCCGCGCTCAGGCTTCACGACGATCTCCGGCTTCTGCTTCTTCGTATGCACCTCGATCTCCGTAAACTCGATGTCTAGACTCTTCTGACCCTTCACCTCTTTCAGACTGTGCGACTTGCCCTCTGGATTCGAAGAATTCCGTCTATGCTTCGATAAAGAGCTGTCCGACATCGCGCCAGGTAAAGCTTCCAACGAGGTCGACGATCTTTTCTCCTTGGCGAACACCATCCTCCAGTTTCTGTTCTTGTAATCCGTCGATTTTCTCACCTTTGGCAGCGTCATCGCGTGCTTGTCCATCGAGGATAATTCCACCACCGTCGCGATAGCTTTGCTCTCTTTTATCGAGGCCTTGACGAGATTGCAACGTTTGCAAACCACTATGGAGTTACTGTGCCTGGAAGAAGTGGTCGCCATGACCGCGCTGCTCACCGAGTTGCTCTTGTTCAGCGCCTTTGTCACGTGCTTCGTCGATTTCGGCGCGGGAGGGTCCTTCGAGTCGAAACTAATACTCAATCGATCCGTAAGATTTCTTAATCTAGAGAAGATGGACTTGTGATTGTTAGACCCAGTTTTATCCTCGCAACAGCACCGGAGACCAACCGACTCCCTTTGATTCTCTATACGACTAGACCTGATCTCCTGATCGTTCTCTACTAAGCTACTAGTTTTCTTCAAGTTATTCCTCTGCCGGTTCTCGACCACCACGTTCCCGTTACCCTCGATTATCCTCCGGTCGTTCAACTTCGCGTCTAATTGAACGGTTTCGTCCTTCTCCAACTCCTCCAGGATCCTGGTTTCTTCCGCGGACCATGCACTGACGGGCGAGCTCAGATCGCTGCCAAGGTTCTCTCCTTTACTTCGTTTTCTTTCGCGTTCGTGCTCCCTGACAGCCCTGACCAGGTCGTGATTATGATAATCCAATGACGATTTCTCTCGACTACCCTTCCGGCTACCCGGGTAGCTTTTCCTACCTGTTGCCGGCCCAGACAGCGTTCCCTCCGTCGAGATCTTGAACTTTAACGTTTTCTCGCTCACCTCCACCTCCGTCGCTGTCTCTGGATCGGAACTCTCCAGGTTCTCCGCGTCTTCTCCCGTCAGGTTCTCGGTGATATCGTCGTCGGTGGACCGGGATCGAGAGTGGGTCGTGCCTGTGGAACGTTTTGAGCGCATGCTGTGCGATGAGGTGGACTTCACCACGCTCGACGTTCCATTGCCGCCGGAAGTGGTAGTCACCAGTGTCGATTCGCCCAAGTCCGCGAGGCTTTTCCGTTGATGTCGCTCGTCTTTCGCTGCCTCGTGCAATCTGCGATAGTATTCCAATGTCTCCCTCACCGGCTGAACTATTAGGCTCTGGAACAGAGATTTTTCAATCTTCGTTAGACCTGGTAGATGTAGAAGTCTCGGTGACTTCTTGACAGTACACGCTGGTTTATGCACACGTCAAGATGACTTTAGCACTAACATTTAGATCTTTCTTTCTATCCGACTATTTAAAAATCGTGAAATTATGAATCTAGAAACTGAATGGATTCGATGTATCACTTTCTAATCACCTAGCCACTCAAGAATCCATCTAACCTACTCGACTTTGACACTTTCCATGCACTATGAATATAAACAGATATACAATGATTCCTAATATCGTACTAGTTAGTTCTACATACTTCTCTTTAAACCTTCAAGTCTGCTAAACAAAGTTCATGTAACACGAATTTTAGATTAGAGTCATTTTAATACGTCTCGAGTTACTTGACGAAACGATATCGTTCGAGCCACTATCTCCTTCCGAAGGAGAATTAAATCCTTGGAGCATCGCGATGGGATTCCCACTATAACAATGCTAGAAGTCGTCGAACAGTAAATGCGATAACGAAAGTACCTGCAGCTCTGGAAGCAGTACCCCTAGGGCCTCGAAAAGAGGAAGTAAAACGAGACCGATGAAGCTGACCTGGGACGAGGGTTTGGTTACTTTGTCGCGATCCATAAACGGCGTCACTGGAAGGCCTTCGAGCTTCTCCGCGTCGCTCTGCTTGAAGAACTCTTGCAGCAGCCTGTCCAGCCATGGTTCCGCGACTTCCATAGGCCGAGCCTCGTTGCTAATATCCGCCACTTTGATGAGGATCATCGATAACTGGAACAAACGACGAACACCTATCGCTGTTTCGCTCTGAATCTCAAAAATCGTCTCGCGAAATTTCTAAACTGCACTGTCCGTATTCGATCATTCGATGGCAAATAAAAATATATCTGGATGTTACAGCAATTACAAGGTTGTACTAAAAAATTCCTTTCGAGTGTTCCATTTTAGAGTTACTACTGTACGAAGCAGCGCAAAAGGTGACGCGACTTACTAGATTGATATGAGCCTTGCTGGAGTAATCGAATTCCGGGATGATGTCGGTGAATTGTCCGAGGATCTCGTTGTGCCTGGCCATGTCCGTCGCGAGAATACATCTGATGATCCCTTCGCGGACGATTCGATAGGTGGCATTGTCCAACGACGCCAGTATGTTGCATTCCGGGGCCTCGAGGACACGAAAGGCCACGGAGCAGTGATGATTCTCCAGAGGCGAGATATCGTTGTAACGCAGGGCCAACTCGGTGCGGGCGTTTATTTGATAAATGTTGTTGTAGCCCGGATGATCTAGGTCGTGGCAGATGCAGGAGACGATTAGTATAAAAACCTCCAGGTCGCCGATTAGCGACGGAAGATCCACTGCCCAGGCTATCGCGTACATCTGCATAGATTGAACACTGATTAAAGCATATTCAAGTACAATTTTAATTTCTAAAGAAACCAGCTAGCTATGCGTTCTTTTTGATACAGCTGATTGTCATACGTTCGTGTTACCATTATAAAATCGCGCATCTTCTTATTTCTCATTTTTCTCTCTCGTCGCTGTTTCCATAACCTTTCACTTCGCGTCTACTTTTCTAATTTTTAATACCGTATAACCGATGTTACGTTTACTTTAAATATCGTTCGAGTGCAAGTTCAAATTAACATTCCTCGATGCAAACGCAAACGACATCCAGGAATTGTAATTTCCGATCGTATTTATACCATTGCTGTTCGTTCGTTGAAACGAAACACGTTGCAGTTAGATGCAAGCGTAGGTCGCGTATACTTGCCATTTGCGCCACGCAGAAGCAATGCCTGAAATTATGAAACGGCACTTCGTTATAGTTGTTGTAGACTTCGTAGAGGAAGTTGCGCAGGATTGGTAAAGGAATGTTAAATTTTTGAGGTAGGTCGAGCTCGACGAACATCGTCTGCAGCATCAGCAGAAGCTCTTCATCTTCCCATTGCCGTGCATCGAAGGCTGGCGAACGTAGCCACTCTCGAACGCTCGACGACACTGACACGTCGCTGTAATAAATTGCAAGAATTACATTTCGCGATTACGGAATTTTATCTGTATAATTAAAGTACAGGATGATTTTTATCGCGAAATTGAATTGTTGGTGTCAATTAATTTTTACGACCACGTTTATTATTCCCTACGATCAAACCTGAGATATCACCTGGAAACAGGTTATTATATGCATTAATCATTGCTCATTTTACGCAAACACATTATAGCTATCACTATAAACTTTTACAGAATTTAATTTCGCATTATTAACTGAACATACCGTTTCATGAAGCCTCGACGTTGACCGATAAGTAGGTATAAATTATGATTCGCAGAGAATGTATAGATTATCGAATTTATTGTTAAGAAATTCCTCCAACTTCTCGCATTTCTTTCTTATCATCGATCTATTCAGAAACCTGGCAATTACCATCGATTTTCAATGATGCCGATATAATATTTGTCAGAAAAATTGTCATAAGCTTGGAAGAAATATGTCGGAAAATTACACGAGAATGCCAAACGAAGCCCGAGACGACGTTTCAAGTTGGGAATTGAATTCAATTTCACCGCTCGTCGAACCGTGAATCCTACAGACACGAAAAGACGAAGCACTTTCGTGTTCGGAGCGTTAAACTGTACATTTCTTTTCTTCCCTGTCCCGCGCGTTCTCTCGCAGTAGCAATATCTACTTAATTACTTGCTTCTGTAGTTGGAGATGTGTCAGAAACCGAGATGCTAATTTATACAGCCCGCTTCCCCTTGGGGGCAGAAAAACGAAGGGTTGATGTTCCCTTTGAAAGCTTGCAGACCCTTTGAGATCATGCACGTCATACCCCTGCAACTCGTCATCCGGATGGAATTAATCGGATTAATATGTCATTTCGTCGGAGTACGCTTGTTGATCGGCATTCGGTACTTTGTGCAATAATGGGTTATGCGCTTATTGAACTAAATTAACATGAAGCCTGACCTACGACGGATTGGAATTACATTAGGGATGTATCGATTTGTCGGTGTAACGTGCTAGATAACATACGTGGCTGATCACGATTATTATACCATATCTACGTGAAAACCGTGAAATACCAAGCAAAGCTTTTCCACAGTGAGAAGATCGAACAGCGTGTATATCTTCGAGAGAAGAAAAAGGAAAAGTTCCGTCACTTTGTAAATAACAGAAAAGCTTGCGCTGTTCCGCAAATATTACACCGTGTGATACCGTGTCCGACGATGAAGTATCAATTCCAATGGCATAAACGGCAGGAGATCTATTAAACGGAACAGCGTTATGCTCTGGACGCCCTTTACTCCACGTAGAAACGTTTATGCGAGTAGCTATGTACCAGGGGTTGAACCAATTTGGAGAACTATGATTATTAGATGGTACTCACAGCAGCGTTGTTGAAACGAGCTTCGCGAGCCCTTTAGGCATTTCCCGCTCTTGTCGTCACGGAAACCGTGTGACGTTAAACACGCGAGCATGTACTCGCATAATGTCTGCATTAACGAGTATCTGTCGTGGGCGTTGCTTCAGCGCTACGCGATTTTCCAATCATAATATTACCAGCAAGAAGTGTCGGAAAAAGAAACTATAATTACCGTTACTGTTATACGATAAAACATTCTTCAACATTGCATCGCAATGTCTGAACACCGAGAGTTTTTGTAAAAGCGAATGCAAATGTCGTGTACGTACGTAAATGTCGCTACAGAGAGATCGGAAGTTGGTCGGGATGAACAACACGGATAAGAGTATTTCTTTCCAATACCTGTCGTCCATTTTCTTTGTCACACGTTGCCTAGTATAGCGAGTTCGGAAGAAGTCAGTCGAGATGACACAGAGGCAAGAGTATTTCTTTCCAACGCGTATCGTTTGTTCCCTTTGTCACGGCTTATCTGCTGTAGAGAGCTCAGAGGAAGTCACTAGCAACCAAACCTAACCTAAACAACCATAAGCGAGAGTGTCTCTTTCAATACATATTCTTCGTCATCCTCGTCAAACGATGCCTAAACATTTTGAGTTAGTGGAGACGTGACTGTCAAGAAATTCGCGTGCATCATCCTGTTTGCACGCGATTAGGCTAACCTACTGATCCGTTGTTGATCACAGCTGACGTTATCTGAATTCCCAACTGTACATCACGCTGTTATTACTTCTTTAATTAAAATATTACTTCTTAGTAAGAACGTTACATTCCTGATACGCGTTAATAAGAGTGTATGTCAAATAACATGGAATCTGTTCGGCCTCGGTTCTGGGGCTAGGACAAGCGACCCAAGGAAGGTCGTATAAGACTCTAGGTTAAGGGAAATCTCACACGAGTGTTTCAGATTAGGCTAACCTACTGATCCGTTGTTGATCACAGCTGACGTTTTCTGAATTCCCAACTGTACATCACGCTGTTATTACTTCTTTAATTAAAATATTACTTCTTAGTAAGAACGTTACATTCCTGATACGCGTTAATAAGAATGTATGTCAAATAACATGGAATCTGTTCGGCCTCGGTTCTGGGGACCCAAGGAAGGTCCTATAAGACTCTAGGTTAAGGGAAATCTCACACGAGTGTTTTCAGATGTCCTAGAACAGAAGCTCGTAGTGTTCAAACCTCTGTCGTTGATTCCATCGCTTTACCGATATTTCAATTAATTTAGGAGATTCAACTATCTCTGGACGTAAACCATTAACCTGCTCTATTGTTTCCCGAAAATTCCTCTCGATAACATCATCCGCGATGAAAGCCCATGGTCGATAAAGCCTAGAAGCTGCCAGCTGCCGAAATATAATGTAGCCAGCTTCCGCGACGAATTTCACAATTCCTATTGTCTTCCGAAACAACAGGTATCAGCGTACTTCTGAAAATTCCGCCGTGTCCGATCACGTCAGATCTCTAAATACAATTACTCCGTGTTACGCGGGAGTTGATGTGTCTAGATCGAGGCAGGATCAAGAAGATTAAGCAGAGGCACGCGTAGCGAAGACTGCTAATTGGCAATCCGCATTTAGCTCGGGCATCCAATCGTGGTGCGCGATAATGTTTGCTTTGTGATGCTCCCTATTATAACCAGGCAATAGCAGGTTATTATAGAGATAACGGTAGCTTAATGGCATTTCGCGGTAACGCCACGAAGCTTGCTACCGCCACGGATCATACATCCTTCGTTGCGATCGAATAAGTCGTACGTGGAACGAGACCGAGAAGAATTCCGATCCTCGAGTTCGCCACGTCTCATTTCGTCCATTCTTTCACGGATTGTCTACACGCTGTTTCATGCCAGCTGTCTAAATCCATGCTTTACGAGCCGCTGCAGCGAAATGGAGAGCGCATCTAGAGCTACCAAGGGAGAAAATATTTTCCCAACGATCTCGAAAAATTGTAGCTTATCCTACGATCGGATATCAAGACGATCTATGTATTCGTCAAGAAAGATAGGTAACGAGAAATATTATATACTCGAAAAATATCTCCGAAGCGAAAATATGCCATGACGAGAGTCGTTCGTGAAATCGATTAGCTTCGTGGAACAAGAGTTGAAATTTATTTGACATACGCGAGATTAATCATCAAATGCTCGCGCAGCGAAATTAAAATAAATTCAACGAGCGGAGTTAACGTGCAAACGGTCAATGAATCGATTCGAAGCATTTTATCGATGAAATTAAAATACCACTTGCATTTTTATCAGAGCGATGAAAAATTCCATTGAACGAAACGATCGAGCATTGAAATCAGCGTACTCTTGAAACGCGACCGTTTAATAATTTCATCTTCCGCAACTTCCGGCGTGAACCGCCATATTTTCGCACGACTTCCGCGAACGCCGATTTACAACATTTGCATTGCTTTCCGATCGATGCATTTACTCGTCGGTGTTTCGTACACAATTACGCGTTTACCCCGGTTTATTTTCCCTGTTCTCGTGAGAAAATCGATTCGCGTTTGTTTCCGTGCACGCTTCTCTCTTTCGCGAGAAGAAAAGAAAAAAGAAAGGAAAATAAAACAGATCATTTCGTGAAATGTCCAATATTTGCAACAAATTTTAACTTTTCTTCCAATATCCCGGAACACAAATCCGTAATCGGAATTGCTCTATCACCCATAGTTTTCGAAAAATGTGCGTTTCACGGGTTCGTTGTTATCTCACAAGTTAGGTAAGAGAATCCCGAGTTTATCAATGTCTATAATTCAAATTATTCGCGTTTCTGAATAACTATAATTGGTCATCAAAGTTTAAAAATAAGCCTCAGAGCATACTTTCTACGCATTTTCTTACACTTTTACAAAAATGTACATCATCTAACACCGTGGAAAATCGCAGAACGGTTGTTTCCGAGGCTTCATGTTCCCCCAATGGCGGATTTTGCGTGAAACACCGAATCGCCGTAGAAAAGAAAAAAGAACGAAACCCTGTAAACGGAAAGACGGAAAATGCATGTTCAAATACGTGATATACCATGGTACATAGCGAAGCATGAATGCTACATGGTTATCGAATTTTTAACGAGGAATGTTCCATTATTCGAACAAATTTAACCCATTTGATGGATTCCTCGTGGAGAATTGCGAGTATCAACATGGGGATGTATAATATGAGAACTAAAAAAGAATTTCCATGTTTCACTGATTTTTTGAAGGTTTTTCGTTTTGTTAGGGGGATGCTAGTTAACCCTGAGCGAGCATTCTTTGGAAATGTCTCGCCGATGTCTATTTCCGTTCCTTCTCGAACATCTGGGGGATGGTTTGAAAGTTGCAATAAGAGCGGAAATGTTGCATAAATTTGGAAATGTTCGGGAGAATGCAGCTGTTCCGATGTGAAACGTACCGAGAACGCGACGTACACAATAGACAAATAAAACTTTAGTATAAATAAAATTTCCATGAAACGGGACATGCATATTTATTGGTTGTTTGGTTATATCGCGAATATTCGATCTATTTGACGGTTTCAGTGTTATTATGGAATTAAATTTTATGTATTTATATTTTTCAGTCCTATTGTTCCTTTTATG